CTGATTAAATTCCCTCTGGGAGCCAGCAGGTGGCATGGCAGTTGAAGCGCTGGACTTCTGTGTGGCAGACAGCAAATCGAGCCTCAGACCAGCAGCTTGAAAATCATGCCGGGCGCATGTGCAAGCATGCCCAAAAAAGAAGGGATTGTGTCATGACCATCCCCTTTGGGGGGTGATTTTTCACTTTCTCTCTCACTGTCTCTCTCTGTCTCTTTCAGGAAAGCACACATTCCCTATGGGGGGGAAAGAACTCCCTCTGCCTCTGTGGATAATAATTAGTTCATCAAACACTAAGTCTTCTTTCAGTGGACTATGATACATCATTGACACAGGTAACTTCATTTTCAGAGAATTCATGTAAGTGACATACACACCAGCAGATCCCCTCCAGACCATAAGTCCCAGGCAGAGCTCCAGAGGTATTCAACTTGAGATGGTTAATTTTATGTGTTAACTTTACTGGGCCATGATGATCCCAGATATTTGGGCAAACATTATTCTAGGTGTTTGGGGATGAGTTGAACACTAAAGTCGGTAGAATCCATAATGTGAGTGTGCCTTATCTAATCCACTGAAGGCCTGAATGGAACAAAAAACTAACGTCAACTGAGGTGCACTGGTTAGAAGCCATGTCAGGAGGAAAATAATGCTTAGACTCATTTCCAGCCCAAGGGCAAAGGTCAAGTGATGACTGCTTGTCCTGCATCCTCATGGGCAAAACTGAGACCTTGCAGAGTGACCTGGAAATAAGAGAAATGGCTCTCATGATCCGGCAGTCTAAGGAAGAAGGAATGGTTTGAGAATCCTCGTGACAGCAATGTAAGAAGAAAAATAATCCTCCACTCTAAGTTGAAAACTTTCATCCGGGGACAAAAGTAGAATATATAGATACAATTTGTTAGAATTTGCAAGTCTGCAACCCCAAATGCCAATGTTTGATATTAAGTATTGTCCTCCATGCATATATTAAATCTAGAATTCACAAGGCAATATTTCTTAGTGCTGATGAAGTATTTATAGAGTAGCTGGGAAGTTTTTTCTTTCATTTTTATTATAAAAGCAATATAAGTTCGTGGTAAGAAAGTCAAACAGGACAGAAGAAAATAAACTGAAATGTAAAAGTCTGAGGCTTGTACCAACCACTATGTCAACTCCCCAAAGGCTAGTGCTTTTTCTTAATAGATTTTGTTTTATTCCAGAGCTTTCCATGTGATCATATGAAAATGCTATTTGTTTACTGATGTTCTTAGACAAATGGGACCATATTTGTCATTATTGTTTTGCAACTTCTTTTTTCAGTATGTAATACATATTGAGTATCATTTTGCATCCTCCTTTTGTGTTTGTGTTTTTGTTTTGTTTTTAGGTTTTTGCCATAAGACATGTGCAAAAAAGACAGAGAAAGGGAGAGAGACAGAGAGAGAGAACAGGAGAAATCACTCCCCCGGGGGGATAGCCACATCACAATCCCTTCTCCATTCTTCTCTCAGGATTTTGGGCATGCACACACAAGGACCCAGCATGATTTTCCAGCCAATAGGTCTGAGGTTTGAACCATGGTCAGCTATGTGGAAATCCAGTGCCTTAACCTCCACACTACTTGCTGGTCCTCACATTCTTTTAATAGCTGTGATATTCCACTATTAGAGATACATGGGAAAATGTTTGTTTCTTCCTCTCATAAGAAAGAAAGGGACAGTTAACCTTGACAGGATCACACACACCACATCCCTGTCTTCTCCTCTCCCAGACTTCCAGCCAGCCGGGATCGCAGGCACACTGATCATGTTCAGGTTGACCCAAGAGCTCAACCAGGGCCTTCCCGTATGGCTCCAGTATCATGCCGCAGTGCCCTACTGCCTAGGCCAAAACATTGTAACTGAATATGTAGAAGAAATGTCCAAGACAAATGATAGTTCACACCATGATATGATGAACAAACATCTTTATCCACAAGCTCCCCACTAGAACATACATTTTATGGTGACCAGCAGTTAGCGTAATGGCAATGTCACTGGACTCCCATGTAGTCGACAGCAGTTCAAGTCCCGGACTGGTGGCTTAAATTCACGCCAGGCGCATGTGCATGCGTGCCCAAGATCCTGAGAGGAGAATGGAGAAGGGATTGCAGCATGGCCACTCCCCACTGGGGAGGGGGGGAGGAGTGATTTTTCACTTTCTACCTCTCTGTCTCTCTCTGTCTTTCCGGTGAGTGCACACGCCCTATAGCAAAAACCTCTCAAAAAAAATAGAAAAGAAAAAGGAATATACATTTTATGGTGCCAGGCACTTTGCTGCTTTCTTTACTGATGAACTCCCAGCAATTGGTACAGTGTCTGACACAGTGAATGCTTAATAACATTCACTAGGTGAATATGTCTTCACATGGATCTGTATCTACCCAGGTATTTAAAATCTCTGCATATATTGGCCCATATATCACCCTCCAGCATACTTGCTTCACTGCATAACCCTATGTGTAGTTTCTTTTTTGTTTCATTTTGTTTTGATCATCTGGGGACTTTATCTTGAGAAATGAGTACAGTAAAACAGTGGATGTGTGTGTATTAGTTTGCTATTGCCACTATAACACGCTGCCACAAATTGAGTGGCTTAAAATGGATAATACAAGTTCATTATCCTCCGGTTCTGGAGGTCAGAAGTCCACGCTGGGTCAACAGGGCTGCTATCCTGAAGCCTCCAGGAGAGAATCCATTTCTTTGCTTTTTCTGCTTCTTCAGGCCATATCCCTTGGCTCATGGGCCCTTCCACATCACCCCCACCTCATCTTTCTTGTCACACCTCCTCTGAATCTGACTTTCCTTCCTTCCTCTCTCCCTTATAAACCCCCTTGGGCTATACTGAGCCACCCAGACTAACCCAAAATAATCTCCCCCATTCAAGATCCTTAGCCATAGCTACAAAGTCTCTTTTGAAATGTAAGATAACATATCTCACAGGTTCTGGGGATTCAGACATGGACACCTTCAGGGACCATTACTTTATCACAGCTTGGGAATCTGATTTGAATTTCAGCTTGTCATTTCAACATGCACTTCTGAAATACGTGCTGAGTCTCTGCTTACACATCCTGAGCTAATCTAAGAACTGCACTGACTAGCTCCGTGGCCTTGCCCAAGTTACACAACCCCCTGAACTTTCATGGTGACAGTTACAGAACTGCCACGATTACTGTCTGTCTTACAGGAAAGGCCATATGTAAACTGTCTAAAGACGTCCCTTTGCACTGAACCCACATTCAACAATCTTTGAATCCTACTTTTATCTCAATACAATGAAGCAAAATACCGGATTAAACAGTAACAAGGTAGAGAAAACAGATCTTGTAACTACTGGATGAATGTAAATCGATTCCGGCTTTCCAGAGGGCAATATGGCCGTGTAAATGTAATGAAAAGCCTCATAAGTGTTTGTTTTCTTTATCCCAGTAATTACCCAATTCTAGAAGTGTATCTTAAGGGCATGGTTGAATTTATGCACAAAGCTTTTCAGTAAAATATTATTTATAATACTGGAGGGAAAAAATGGAAACAATATAAATCTCTACTAATAAGGGATTAGATAAATAAGCACAATATCCACATTACAGAAGTCTCATCAGTCACATAAAAAGACTTTGTAAAAGAATATTAAATATCACGTTCAGAGGCTTGCCAAATGTTAGTGACAAAATCAGGGTGAAATCAGAGCTCTTTATCATTTCACACCAGAACTCTGTGTAGCGGGTGTGTGTGCATGAAGTGTGTGTAGAGGAGAAATAATCTAAAATCTTTGTCAAGTATCCTCAACGTTGCTGAATCATTGGGTTGGGATTTTTTTTTTGTTTTTGTGGGGCATAGCTGAGGGAGGGGTTACTGGGTAAGTCAAGCAGGCATTTCCCAGGAGGATACTCTGGGGACACTTATCAGGGTTTTCGAAATAACAACTATGAAGTTGGTTTACATTCTGGAACCACATATGTATGTATGCTTTAGACCAAAATTCAAGCTGACCAGTCTGATTGGTTGTCTAGCCTTCAGTTCATCCAGGTTTGAGGTCAGTGTGATCACTTATATGATGACCCTGTTTAAACCATTTAACACAATCTAAACAAGACGGTGTTAAAACATGTTATCATGAAATGGTTTTTGCGATATTTCAGTGGTTATTTCTGGATAATGGAGGACTAAGTGACTTTTATGTATTGCTTACTTCTATTTTCTAATAATAAACGTTGGGAGGAAAAGGAATTTCGACATAGGACAATTTCTCCACTTTAACAGGTTTGGGGTTTTTCCCTAGTTGTGGAACAAATACTGCCCAAGATGTCCCCCTAGTGGAAATCGGAAGCGGCTGCTGAGCGCTCACTCAGGTGCGACTTTTTAATGTAACTTATTGGAAGAGCATTGGAGACCCTCGGAGGCAAACAAGAACCTGCAATTCTGCCACTCTGTTCATTCAAAATGTCGAAAAAGTGAAGACCGAACAGGCGTTAATCGTCTAGAAAACAGGCGATAATAATTCTAGGCCCACTCGGAATATTGGTAATTCACTTTTTCGATTGCCTTTGTTACGGGATTAAGGTCGCCCGGCTCAGTTTCCCTTTCCTGGCTTTTTATTAGCTTGTGTCCTCGGTCTAAAGTACCAGGGGATGGAGAATCACGGAACTCTCTGGGATGGTCGAGCTCGGAGTCTGAAAGAGACTCCTCGGGTCGGGGACGCTAGCAACTCGGGATGGCTCTACGAATCTTCGGCTCCACTCGGTTTCTTTCGGCCAGCGTTTTTCCTCTCGTGCTCGGTTCTCTTCGGTTTCCTTCGGGCGACTCTCGTCTCGGCCTCGGTTCTCCTCGCCCGCGTTCGGCCTACGTTCGTCTCGGCCTCGGCTCTTCTCGCCTGCGTTCGGCCGATGTTCGTTTCGGACTCGGCTCTCTTCGGCTACTTTCGGCCGCGGCCCCGGAAGGGCGCCCATGGAGCCGGGGCTGTCGGCCCGACGCACTGCCATGGCGCCGCTGCTGGAGGACGAGACGCCGGTGGGGCTGGAACTGCTCGA